GAGATTGAGTTCTCACATAAAAAATACTCTTTTAGTTAAAATATTCTAACACAGGAGTTGGTTCAATGTGACTCTACACAAGAGTAATTTCTCGTCATAAAAAAAAATAAAATAAAATAAGTTTGTAATCCACTATCTTTCTGTGGATTAACACTATAGTTTTGGAAGGAACATAAGATATGTATGTAAAATTATGCACACCAAACACGTGCGCCATTTTAAAAGTAAACAACGTTATCTCATTACACTACAACAAATGGCCTTCTAAATAATGAAATGCATAGCAATGGTTTTTTTCTTTTTAACAAGGGAAGATTATTCTGACAAACATATCCCGAAATTTATTTTGCACTTATATGTTAGATACGAGAAAATATTGGATATAACTGTTATACCACGTGGTGTAACCGTTAATTAATACGTAAACAAATAAGAAAATGAGTCCCACAAAATTAAGTAATCACTTATCTATGTAATATTGAACCACCTCCATGTAGGTCTCCACTATCTATTTGTTTATTTTTTTATTGGACGGTTTCATCGTGTGACAATAATAACATGATGTAATTGTTACACATAATATTTATTAGGTAGATACATGTGTGTCCAAGAGGGATTAATTGGATTTTTCCAAAAGGGTGTTTAGATGGGATAAATGGGTGATTTAATCTGTCTAGTATTTATAGTTACTTAACGCTGGGTTTGAATTGAGTTATAGAGCCGTCTAAATAACTTTACTAGTATATTTATGATATATTTATGACACATTTTATGTTGAATTTAAATAAACTAAACGTCCTTTCATAACCAAGTGGTGAATGTCAATCACTTTGATTATAAGAAAAAAAAAAGTTATTTATACGATAAAAAATATTCGGACTCATAATTAGTTTAAAGTATCATGTGAAACTCATATTTAAGATTGTAATTTATTCGTAACCACTATAGTATGTCACAAGACAATAAGTGGACCGTGACATTATCATCTATTAATATTTATGATTGTAGTACGAATATATCTTTAGATATTATAATCTTAACTAAATTTCACACGTATAATATATAAGTTAATTTTGATAAAAAAAAAATAAAATTACAAGCGATAAATTTGATAATAGCATAACGAATGACCTCATTAAATAAAAATTTTGATCATGTCACTGTTCTTATGTGGCCCCCTCGGAGTAAAATCCTAATTCCTTCTCTGGTCCTATTCATATAAAACAAATAACGACTCAAATCGTTTAAATTTGATACTTTATATTATGACTTCCATTTTTAAATTTTTAACCAAAAGTGTATATACTAACCATATTTTTAGCTATAGTAAATATTTTAACTATTCATTTATATATTTTCTACAAGTCACTTATATTTTAATCACGTAAAAATAAACGGTGCTTTTCACGATGTAAATGAGGAGACTGATTAAAGATTAAGTCTAATATATTATTCCTAAATCCTAATCACTAAGCCCTTAATATCATATCATCATAATCGGCAGTGCTAATCTGTTCGGCAAAGCTATCACTTTCGCTAAGTGGATTACTTCAGCAATAAACCAAATCTTATCCCCAAATCTTCCATACCATTCACCATTCTTACAGATTGTGTAAGGTCCAGGATATTTAATGCATCGATGTAGGATGTTTTTTTTATTTTCTTTGTAAAGTTAGTACCTTACATTTAGTATTAGGATAACAAACTCACATCTTGTCCAGACCAGACCCAAAAACAGCATAGTTAGGATATGATAAAGTATTAGACTAATTATAAACATTAAGTTGGAATTAATTGTTCTATCCACCCATAATGTACCTGAACCCAAACACATTCCCATTAATGGTATTATTATTACACAAACATATCCAAACAAGAAGGTCCAATGACTTCCAGGTCGGCATGCTCCTGCTTGGCAACATCCAGCTCGAGAACAGGGAGCTCGGTATTCATTAAATTTTGAACATCTCCGGTCACGCCACGTGTCTAGGAAGCAGGGGCATAGTTTTAAAATCCAGCTCGGACATCAACCCGGTGAAGAAACTGGGTCAATGGGTCAACCGTTGGGTCACTGGTCGGAGTGGAAATATAATAAAAAATTAAAAAATAATTATAAATAATAATAGTCTAAAAAATCACAATAATTATAAAAATAACATCAAACATATAAAGTTAAGTAGAAAAAAATTATCAAACATGTATTCAATTTTCAATACAGCTTGTAAAGTTAAGTAGAGAAAAATACTTATATTGAAGTTCAAGGCTCCAAGTCTAAATCCAACTCTTCGACAATATATCAATTTAAGCATAATCTATGTAATTTGCACTATTCAAAGTTTAAACTTCATACTCAAACTATAGTAAGCACAACACATGAAAACAAAACAAAGCACATGAGCATAACATAAAGACTCAAATAAACAAAACTAAAAATAAATTATCTAACCACCGCCTAGTTCCACTTGAAAATACAAATATTACCACTACTATCAATTAATTAATCTACAATCCAATTATATATAATGAACAATAAGAATCCCAAACAAGTCAAAATTTTCAATAGAGAAACACATACAACAAAACTAGAACAAGTAAATAGAATTGAAAAGTCATTCTTCACCTTTCTTAGTTTTAATTTGATAAACTAAAAACTGAGAGAAACAAAAAACCCACAATACAAATAAATAAATATATATATATATTGATAAGCCTTGATGACAATAATGGCTCCGATGCAGTAAGCCTCACCACCACCAATAACGCAAAAGGGATAGAGAAAAAGGGGGAGAGAGAGAGAAAGGGAAACTCACTGGACTGGAGGCTAGTCAGTCATTGGTGGTGGAGGTTGATCAGTCGTTGGTGATGGAGGTTGATCGCTGCTGATTGTCAATCGTTGGTGGTGGAGGCTGATCGCTATTAGAGTGGAGGTTGATCATTGCTGGAACGGAGGCTGATCGCTGCTAGTGCTGGACTGGAGGTTGTGTTCGCTAGTCTGGATCGCTGGTCTGGAACGATTTAGGGCAAAACAAAAGAAGAAAAAACAGAAAATGTCCAAAAAATGGAAAAAAAAAACTAAGATTTGTACAATGACATTAAACCGGCCCGTTTGCTAAACTCATCCGGTTCTCACGGATTTATCAGTTTTTGAACAGTTCACCAGATTTATACCAGGGTCCTTACATAAATAGTCTTTTAATAGAACTGACCCGGTTCACCGGGTTGACTCGCCGGGCCGGACTGGGTTTTAAAACACTAGACAAGGGGACACTTTCTGGAGCCACTAACGAACGTGCACTCCCTGGCAAAAGGAATATTGGTGCACATTCCGTTTAAAGGTTGTGGGCACGATTTGCGTCAAGTGGTAAGTACCATTACAGGACAAAGGAAGAAGAGACCACAAAATCAGCAAAAAGTAGGAAAAAACCACAAAAAAAAACTCTAAATCAATTACTTATCACTTTGTATATACAATTTGAACGAGTCTGTATTCACAAGGCGCTGTAAGCAAATGGCTCTAAGCCCAGAAAACCTATTGTAATCTTCTTCTTCAGGTAATATAAGCCTCTAAAAGCAAGAATCTCCATTACAGTGGACGTAACCTTAGTCCTTCGGTTAGGTGAACTACTTATATACTGTTTTGACCCAATTTCATCCGGTATTCCCTTGTTAATCTAAATATCACTATTACCCCCGTCATTGGATCTTAAATCCACAGTTCTGCACTTGGGTCGAGTATTTTCGAGCACCATCATATATAATATTGATTAAACATGTTGATTGTGTTAATTTCTTATTATTCGTGTTATCATACAAACGAAAAATAGAAAATGTGTCAATTTTTAAATAAATAGGTTAATCGTGTCAATTTCGAGTTTGGCCAGTTGAACCCGAATATTATCCGTTTATATTTCGTATTCGCATGTCGGGTCATTTTCGAGTTTATATTGAATTATAATTAAATTTATATTATAAAATTCGTGTCAAATTCGAATATTGTCGCGTGAAAGTTGACACCCTACTTGAATGTCCCACCTTGGTCCACTTTGTCTCATTTAACTATTGGTGCACTCCGCCCACGTGCTTTTTATTCTAATGTTACGTGAAGCATGTCAGTTTTGTACCCATAAAACTCGAAGAATCACTTTTGGATGGTATCTCATGTAACTTCATGGAAGCAAACGAAAACAACGATTAATATTTACAGCAAGTATAATTGAAACCTACATTTTCAAATATTAAAATAAAAAAAAACGTGTCAAACTGTTGAAAATAACCAGCATAACTATATAAAAGTTTATATTCGAGAAAGGAACGGTCGGTAGCACAGTAAAACCCGTGTCTCATGTTCGATTTCTTCCATTTGGGCAAAGCCTGACCCACAAATCCATCGAGATCGTGCTAAGTTCTAGATTATTTTTGGATATTATTATTTATTTTGGGATTTGATTTTTAGGTTGTGATATATAGAGATATTAAACTTTTGGACTATTGTGCATTTCAAATTTTAGTGTTTTTCCGATTCATTATATAATATCTTGAAAAAAATGTTTTTAAAACTAGATGATTAAACATGATTAAGCTTGATAAATTTTGAAATGGAGAGGATCAAAATTCATCAATGATATTGATTGATAAATTATTTTCCCAAAATAATGAATATGCTACTTGGGTATCATTATTGGACCCAATTTGCTGATGTTATTGAAATTAGTGGTGATTTTTCAATATTTGCTAGAATATAGTGCTGAATGCAATAATAATAAGATGAAGTGGGTGAGGAAGATTAGGTAAACAGAAGAAAAAATCATTGGAAGATCTAAAATAGAGGAAATTCCTGTATAGGGCTTTATAAACATTTTATTTACCACCACTTGTTGCACTCGTTTTTGCTATATAAAAGGCCTCATATCCTCGCATTTTTCTCAAGCTCTACCCCTGCCAAGATTAATTGCTTCCATACTTCCTCCAAGTTTCCAGCAGACACAGATTCATACAGTCACAGAGAGAGAGAGAGAGAGAGAGATGGCTTCTTGTGGTGTCTTCAAAAGTAGCTTCCTTCCATCTCTACACATTCAAGATGGGTACTCTTCTTCCAGCCTTTTAGCTGCTGCCAAACCCATTCTTCCCAGTAACAAGCGAAAGGTCCTCTCTCTCTCTCTCTCATACACACACACAAACAACGCACACACGCACCCAGAAGGACACACACCCAGTGCCTTGAATTGAAAGACAATGAGAGATGGGTTAAAGATTGTTAAACATTCAGGTAATGCATACTCTGTGAACTCACACAAATCTCTCTCTCTCTCTGTTGGTTTACAGTTTACTGGGGTCGTAGCTGCTCAGGACAACAAAGCCAGCAAAGAAAACGATGTCCCAGTCAAGAGAGACGACTCAACAAAAATCAATGGACAGGCCACAAGAACGCTGAATTTTTCAGGAGAGAAGCCATTTACTCCAATCTTGGATACCATTAACCATCCAATTCACATGAATAATCTTTCCGTCGAGGTACAATTAAATCTCTCTACTTTCTCATCCACATGCTTCGCTTTGCTTTAAGTTGGGTAAATTACACTTACTCCTGTAAATTATTAACATTTTTTTTCACTTTGTCCTCTAAACTATCAGATTTCTCATATTATACCCTTAACTATGTGATTAATTTCACACTGTCTCAAATATTAAAGTCCGTTACATATTTAACGGAAAATTATTTCATTTTGTCTCTCAAAATTTGTAATTTTTTTCAATTTATTTCTACGATTTCTGTCCAAAAAGATAACAGACATTTATGATTGGGACAATATAAAACAAAGTGTTAGTTGAGACTGTAATGTGAAAAATCTGGAAGTTATTTTTAACATAACTTAAAATATTTATTGTTGAAGTACTGTAACTTTCTATAGTTCTCAACTTCTCAAGTTTTGGGCAAAAGATGTAGAAAATAAAGATCGACATGAAAAAATATTACTGGTTATAAATTTTGTGCACACGAATTTTGTCGCTACTATATTTTACTTAAATCAAGTTGTTTTTAGGAGCTTGAGAAGTTGGCAGATGAACTCCGGGAAGAAATTGTCTATACCGTCTCTAAGACCGGCGGCCACCTGAGCGCTAGCCTTGGAGTGGCTGAGCTAACTGTCGCACTTCACCATGTATTCAACACACCAGAAGACAAGATCATTTGGGACGTTGGGCACCAGGTGAGTTTGGAATTTTGAAGAAATAATATCCTTTAGTGACAAATCTTTGAGATCTTTTGGGACGATTTTATTGGTCGCTAAAGACGGTATTGTTGTGATGAGAGAGAGAGTATGATCTCTACAAAGTGTCACATCAATGACTACTATTACCATTTGTCACTATAATCAATTAGCATCGAATTTTTAGTGATTCTCAAAAAAAATCTTCATTGAAGCTATCTAGCATCGAAATTTTAAACTTTTAGTGACGAACAATTTCAAAACTAAAAACATTATTTGTTTTGTTGTTGATGAATGGAGTTTTTGGGCGGTTTTGCAGACATACCCACATAAGATTTTGACGGGTAGGAGGTCGAGAATGCATACAATTCGACAAACTTGTGGTCTATCAGGCTTCCCCAAGAGGGATGAGAGTATACATGATGCGTTTGGTGCCGGCCACAGTTCTACCAGCATCTCTGCTGGCTTAGGTGAGACTGGGACATCACTCTCTCTCTCTCTCACTCAAACACACAAACACAATTTTATTAGTCATCGTTGACATCCAAATTTTCTTCATTAAGTTCACTTATAAGTAATCTAGTACGAACTGAAAGTGTAATAGTAGATAAAATATTGATTCTTATCTACTTATTTTTTAAGAACTATTTCATAGTGAATATTCGAATCTAATATTTCCGGATTGGGGTTATAGTATCCAAAGTAAATCTAAGTCATAGATCTTGATATAAGCCCCGCCCCTCCCAATTTGAGGCTTAAAGCAGAAATATTAAATGAATGTCTTTTTATTTTTAGTATTATTTTTTAAAACAAATTAATTTATTTTTAATTTTCTATGTGAGATGGAATTAAAAGAAAAATGTGTTAATATTATCGAGAAAGATATTTTAATTTTAATTTTAATTTTTTAATTTTTTTTACTTGATGGAGAGAGAGAAAGAGAGTGTGTGTGAGTAAATATAAATTGACTTTTGAATATATTTTTATTTTTTAAATTTCTAAGTTTTTAATATTATGAATTAGATTATAAACCCAAATTATTGCAATAAAAATTTTGATTGAATTTAATTTTTTAGAGTTTTTTTGTAAGGTTTAAAATTTAATAGATTTAATTTTTTTTTTTTTTGTAAGCTAGTGATACATCTAAAATTATAAGATCTTTTAAAAATTTAAGGCATAAAGTTCATACTCTTTTCTTCACAATGTTGGGCCAGCCCGGAATATGAGGTACTTGTCGTGATGAAATAATCTGCGACAGACTATTGTACTTTTTAGGGTCACCCCCCACCCCTTGCACACCATTAGTTTCTTATCTATACACATTTTCGGGAAAAAAAAATCATCTCCCACAGTAAAAAAGGCCAGATCTATAATCAATAGTCTCTAACTTGTTATCCAGTTAATAGTTAGGGACTTGACTTGGCTACCGACAAAAAAACATTCGGCATTGTACTGTCAAAATTTATTATTTTAATAAATATTTTTATATTTTTTATGAATTATTTTATAACTAAAAATTTTATCACTTTTATAGGTATTTTATCATTATTGTGATAATTATTTTTACCACTTTTTTTCAATATAAAAAATTTTACAAGTTTCATTGTAGATGTTTTTACCCATATTAAAGTACCAAACGTTTTTTTTTTTTTTTTGTAGTACAATAGAGAAATCCAATAGTTAGATAGTGAATATGAAAATGTGACCTAATTTTTTAATTTAATAATGTATTAACTAGTACGAGCTAATTACATCATCGTAATTGCTAGGATTGGATTTATTTGTTGTCACCATAGCACAAAAGTACATCATTAAATCAAGGTATTAGATCTAGTTTGCAGGTCCTCATAATATTATTTTATCTAATATTAAACCTTATTACTAATCCAATTTGACTTTTTTGCATGATTAAAATAAGAAAGAACATGTAGAAGAAATATATTTTTTGGGCTGGGCTGGATTAGATTTGGACCTACATAAATCTTAAAGAAAAAGACAGCTAAACCCTGAGCCTCATTTATTTTGAGTCCACTAGATAGTGGCTTATACTTCAATTTTCATCGTTTCATTTTCGTTCACAAATTAATAATCTTCAAAAAATTTTGGTTCAATTTTCGTAGGGATGGCTGTTGGAAGAGACTTGTTACGGAAGAACAATCACGTAATTTCTGTAATAGGCGATGGAGCCATGACCGCCGGGCAGGCATACGAAGCAATGAACAATGCAGGCTATCTCGATTCGAATCTTATCATCATCTTAAATGACAACAAACAAGTCTCATTGCCAACCGCCACTGTCGATGGCCCAGCTCCTCCAGTCGGAGCTCTAAGCAGAGCCCTAACAAGGTTGCACTCAAGCCGAAAGTTTCGTCAACTTCGTGAAGCGGCAAAAGTAATCCTTCTTTTCCTCCTTTAAAATTTTTTGCACAAGAATGAAAAACCTCATGCAATTTTGTGGGAAATAAGGTCCTAATTCTTTTGATGTTTGTCCATGACCTTATAAACCAGTCTTGAGCCCAAGACTGCGGGGTCCATTCAGTTTGGTCATGACCCAATATTCTTACACAAAATTTAATTTGATTTGAGCGGGTTGGGGTCTCGGGTTCTTGGAACACCCAGAACTTAATCTCAATGTTAAATCAGGTTGATGTGTTGTATAAATCTTGTTTAATTAGTTCATCTTATTTTAATCGTGTTAACCCAGTTATTTGACCTATTTATTATCAAACCCATTAATTCTGTGTCAGATTTCATGAATTTTATCTTCAGTTGTTAGACCTGTACCACAAGGCATGAACTTTTATTTTCTTCTTCATGGACTCCACCCTGATCTCTACTAATCTATCAACAGGGTGTGACCAAACAAATTGGAAGCCAAGCACACGAAATCGCGGCCAAAGTTGACACGTACGTGAGAGGGATGGCTGCTGGCCATGGGGCTTCACTGTTTGAAGAGTTAGGTCTATACTATATTGGTCCAGTGGATGGTCACAATGTAGAAGACCTTGTGTATATTTTGAAGAAGGTGAAGGCCATGCCAGCCCCTGGACCTGTTCTCCTCCACATTATTACAGAGAAAGGAAGAGGCTATCCTCCGGCCGAAGCTGCAGCTGATAAAATGCATGGTATGGTGTGCACATTGCTAGCTTATACAGTTTGCTTATAGTCTTTCATAGATAAATATAAAAGAGTATACTCAATACACGAAACTCTCGTTATTACGAGATCTAAGAAAGTTGGATCTGTCCAACTTTAACCTGCAAGCAAAGAATCTGTGTTTGAGAGTTGAACTCATGGTATCTAGGTCATAATAAAACGACTTTATCATTGTGCAAAAACCGAGGAAATTGTGATTAAACTTATTGCTAAACTATAATTTTATTTTTTGTAGGGGTGGTGAAATTCGATCCCAGGACGGGAAAACAAATGAAGACCAAATCGAAGACACTTTCGTACACCCAATACTTTGCTGAGTCTTTAATTGCTGAAGCTGAGAGAGATGACAAGATAGTGGCAGTCCATGCTGCAATGGGAGGAGGTACAGGACTCAACGCATTCCAGAAACGCTTCCCCGACCGGTGTTTCGACGTCGGGATTGCCGAGCAACATGCCGTCACCTTTTCTGCTGGTCTTGCCACTGAAGGGATCAAGCCCTTTTGTACCATTTACTCATCTTTTCTGCAGCGAGGTTATGATCAGGTGAGCAATCTATGTATATACTTTTCACTGTTCTCTCTAATTCTTTTACTTCAGTTTTCAAAGGAAAATGTTATTTAGACCTAAAAAAATGATATAATTTGTTGACGTAATAACGTGGTTTCATTGAAATTATTAGACAAACACCAAGTTCTAATGTTTGATAGAGCTCACAGTTAATCCAAAGATCATAGTGAATTAGATCAACAAATTAGATTAGTAAATTAGGTCCCAATAGATTTGCCCGTTTTCAAATACATGTTTTCCATATACGACACTCACCATTATTGAGTTACTTGTTTCTGAAATCATCGGAATTTATAATGTGTTGAGCTATTATTATGAAGTACAATTAACACGCATATATCTCATCATATGTCCAAAATTTCAAATTTCTGATATCCGTTAATTTGACAACCATGGCATGGTGGTTGTTGGTGCAGGTGGTTCACGATGTTGATCTTCAAAAGATTCCGGTGAGATTCGCGATGGACCGGGCCGGGCTAGTTGGTGCAGATGGACCAACCCATTGTGGGGCATTTGACACTACTTACATGGCCTGTTTGCCTAACATGGTGGTTATGGCCCCTTCTTGTGAAAGCGAGCTTATGCACATGGTTGCCACAGCCGCAGCCATTGATGATCGGCCTAGTTGCTTTAGGTACCCTAGAGGAAATGGCATTGGTTCACTTCTTCCTCCAAACAACAAGGGAATCCCTCTAGAGGTACTTTTGACATAAACTATCTTTCTTCATTTTAGCATGTCAACGGATCAAATTTAAATTGAATTTCGTCTGATCTGCAGTCAAATTTAATTTCAAAACTTCAATCCAAAACATGTCTCAGGTCAAAATCCGATCTATTAATAGGTTTACTTGGACTTTGAGTCTAATTCAAAAATTGAAAGCAGGTTGGAAGGGGAAGGGTGCTGAGAGAAGGAAGTAGAGTGGCGATTTTAGGGTATGGAACAATAGTACAGAACTGTCTAGCATCAGCACAACTTCTTCAAGTGCTTGGAATTTCAGCAACTGTGGTGGATGCAAGATTCTGCAAACCTCTTGATGGACCTCTAATTAGAAGGTTAGCTCAAGAACATGAGGTCCTTATCACTGTTGAAGAAGGATCTATAGGTGGATTTGGCTCCCATGTTTCCCATTTCTTGGGCTTGAATGGATTGCTTGATGGAAACCTTAAGGTAAATTCTTTCATGACCTAGTATGCCAACATGTACATTCCACAAAGCCATTTAACAATGGAGAAGTCTACAGTGCTGAAAAGTTTTTTTTGGGTACTGTACTGCCATTACAAGTTTTGTGGTTTATTTTTACAACTTTTAAGAGTCATTTATTACTTTTAAAGATCATTTACAATGTTTCATTCTCGCAACTTTTGTGAGAATGAATAAGTGATCCCTTATAATCCCAGATCACTTTCGAGCGGGTCTCAAAGACCTTTGGACCCTCCTAATTAAGCGCTTAGATTGTGATGACCCAATCTTTTATTGCTGAAGTGTGTGTGGTGTATTATAACAGCAAGTTTTTTATCTTTATTGTACCGTGCTTTTGAAAATCTCAACTCAAAATGGATAATATCATGAGATGTGGATCTAAAACGTAACGGTATATATGATACCAACATATGCTGGAAACGAAATCACTAAATGTCATTGCTTTTGATGTTGCAGTGGAGGGCTATGATGCTACCTGACAGATACATAGATCATGGAGCTCAAAAGGATCAGCTTGAAGAGGCTGGGCTAACTCCAAAACATATTGCAGCCACTGTTTTGTCGCTAATTGGAGAAAACAAGGACAGCCTTCACCTTGTTAACCTGTAATAATGGAGTTCTTTCCCAATACTAGAGCTGTAGAAATTGTAACCCTCCACAGCAATGCAAGGCCAAATCTAAAAGCAATACTTCCTTTCTCCTCTTGTAAATAGCTAAGGGGGTTCACTAAGGAGTTCTTGTTGAGAGTTTGACTATGATATTGAAAATATATTTTTTAGTATCATACTTTTTTCATCGTATAATCCTGATAACACACGTAAAAAATTTTATTATTTTATTGTTTCACTTATTATTATTTCCTCTCAAACAATACAAATAACTCAAACTAAAATTTACAAATGGGCATCATTCTTCAATTGGATACCAAGAAATTAATTTTTAGTACCATAATCTTATTTTCTTAATGCATAAATAACATAATAATTTCTTCACCGGGGTTGGACCTTGTACCCGAACAATCTCAGCTCATATGAGCCAAACCTGTTAAAGTCAGGCCTTACAAGGTGGTTGCAATATCCAAATCATTGTCCAGTATCTTTAACCATCTGTCCTACCAAAGAGAAAGAAGAAGAAAGGGAAAAAAAAAAAAAAAACTTTCCAAGCACCTAACTTTTTGACAAAAATGTTTTTTTTTATTTCAATTAAAAAATTACTTAAAAAGGGTACCTAACTTAATGTCATTAAGATTATTATCCTATGAAGACTGACCATAAAATTCAAATTACATGTATTCTATCATAATGTTTATATCAAGATAGGAAACCATCAAGGACGTAGATCAGTTGGTGAGGGGCTGTTCTACCTTAACCAAGGTCCTCAGTTCGAAACTTGAGAATGCAGCTGCGTTCAGTGAGGAGAGTTTTGCCGCCCTTGTGGTCTTACCCGGCTCAAATCCAGATTAATTGGAGCCTGTTGTGGCTTCCGAATACCGGAAGGTCTAACCAAAAATATATCAAAATAGAAAGAAAATGATATACAATCAAAACTTTAAAAGAAAGAAATTGCTGATTGTATTTTAAATTCTTACTGTCATTCGACCATTTGTATCTCTATGCATTATCATCTTGGTGGCGGCATTACTCACTTGACGATTGAAAAACATATTAATCAAATTTTGTAAAATATTGATAAACTAGTTATTGCATGTGCCTGAAGGAACAGAATAATAAAAAATGATAAACAATAAACATATTTATATTATATCCAAAATCAAATCACAAACATAAAGAAGAGATAAATAAATTTAAGCATCGATTTGTAGTGGGGGTGAGAGGTAGTGGGCGGCAGTAGTGATGGTAGAAGACTGTGATGGTTGTGGTGGGTGGCAATGATTGTGATGGCGGTGACGACGGCGGCGATGATGGTGGTGGTGGCGACTATGACGATGGTGGCGGTGGTGATGATGGTGGCGATAGTGAGAGTGGTGGCGACAACGGTGGTGGTGACCGCGACGACGGTGATGGTGATGGCGTTGGTGGTGACGGCAGGGCTAGGGGTGGGGGTGAGAAATAAAGTAAAATTTAAAACGATTTCAACCGTGAATAAAAAAAGTCATTTAATTTATCTTTTCAAATTCAAATTGTAAACTATTTTATTATATAGATTTATCCACACACGAGCTGAATATGTCCAGGGGTCCTTGGAAATGCTAGTTTTAAATAGAGGCCTTTTATAGCAATAGCGATAATAACATAACAATTGTGAAAGTTTTTGTTAAGCTTCGCTGCCTTCGGCCATTCTTTCTTCCTGAATTCTGAGACCAGCATACCTGCCAAAAAGCACACAATAAGATTAACAGTCAAGTAGATTTTCAAGAAAATAAAAGGTTAGCAGCCAAGTACCAGTCATAACAACTAATAGAAAAATACGCAAAAATAAATGCTTGTATAACTTTGATTGCAAGTGATGTATTTTAACCTAGCAATAGCATGTGCTTAAAGGTGCTAGATAATACAGACATTAGTCGTATAGTAAAAATACATAAAATAATAATTATTTTTTCTTCTTTTTTTATAATTATATAACTCAAAACCAATCTTGTCCTACCATTTTAAAAAAAAAAATTGGAGAGAGAAAACTTTATTTGGTCTTCGTTAGCGTGAAAAGATATAGGGTGAATAGAATTTTCAACTCGTCAAAAATATGACCTTGATTAACGTGAAAAATATGAGCTTATTTGGGCGGAATTTTTTTTTTTTCTTGTCTCTCAAAATTCGATGTAATCAACTAGGCTATATTCTTTTCTTCTTTTTTTTTTTTTTATCATAACAAGGTTATATTGAAGGATTAATTATTGTGTTGGTACTTTGACCCATCAACTACGAACCCCTTTTTGTACAAAACCAAACATTCGAGAAGTTTTAATGGCAAATAAAAAGTTTATAGTAAAATACAAGTTTTCATTGCTACAATTGAGGTAATGGGAAATAAACAACCACATTTAGAAGTATAAAATAAATCATAAAAGATACTTCAATTGATAACAAAATAAGTTGTAAATTTAGACGTCCTGAGTTTGAATCTTGTCAACCTTTAGAATCAAGTTACAAGAAATTTATCTCTCATGAACACTCTAACTCTGACGTGGATGATTTGTCTTTAACCGAACCAACGAAGTGATTAATCGAAGTGTCCATAAATTAATCTGAACATCTCTGACCAATAAATAAAAAAAAAAGTACAAAGTGAAAATGTGACATGTGAAGGAAAAATGTGAGAGAGTAATATAGTTTAGGGGCTGAAAGTGTAATTATTACTTCTGAATTTTTCATTACCTATTTTGGAACTGGACTCTTCGATTCCAGACAGTGCTCCTCGGCCTTTCCTTTTAGTATATTTTTAATTGTACTTATAAAGACAGGTTATATTCTAATATGTAGTTATATTTTTCATAATCGATCACAATTTTAAAATCGATCATACTATTTTTTATTATCATTTCACATATAAATGTTGTAATTTTTTGATAAGATATTATATCGGTACTGTAACCATAATAAGTCCTCCAAGAAAACTTTTCATCAAGGGGTGGGGATGAAGTTTCAAACACAGGTCATAGACCTGAGAAATGATCATTTGCAAAAATAAAGAAGATGTGGAAAAAGAAATTGAATGCCAAATATTCTATATAATTGTAAAAAGTATAATCCGGTTATTCAATGTATTTTATTTTTATAATCTATAATTTCATTATAATGTGGCATCCCATCCAAATCAACTTAATCCGAATTGATTTTTTTTAAAAGAAAAAAAAGTACAACTTAATTTTAATTGAAGGGATACTGGCATTTACAAATTTGGAAACTTCAAAATATTTTACAACAAATTCGAATCTGAATTTAAATTAAAATAATCAATTAAAACTTAAAAGTAGCAAGCTATGATCAACTCCTGACCTAAGCATTTTTAATTATTGCATCAAACAACCTGTCAAATTCACGCACCCCAAACGTGGGTCCTACCGTCGGCACAGACATATGTCAACTGCTTAAAATAAAAGGTTAATATCACTTATCCCCCAAGAACCTTAAAGATACTATGTTCTCCCTCAAAGGAAGAAATTTCTTATCATTTTTGTCAATTTTCTCAAAAAGTGCAACTCCGTATTACAGTGACCAAATGCCAATTACTTTTTCTATAGCTGGGGTGGTCTAATAGTTGAGCTTGTTATTTAATAACTCAGAGATTTTAAATTTAATTCATTTATAAATTTGTAATAGCTAGTCACCCTTATATTTTTAAGCATATCTTTCAACTCAGTTTAAATTACAGTGATCAATCGTTGAATTCAAGAGAGTAATCGATTCAAGACTGAACACCCTATAACAAAAAAAAATTATATATGTGAAAATTGGTTACGTGACATACGCATAGATGGTGACAATTCGTCTACTAAGTAAAGTGTGATCAATAGAAAATGTCAGAAAGCAAGTTTGCCATTGTCATAGCTTTTCGTATAATAAAAAGAAAGCTAAAGTCATTTCTTTATCCTAACACATTAATACACTTTTGAAAAATGAAAGGGCCAATGTAAGATTTGTTATATTTGAAGGGAAGAAATATAGCTTTTGAAATCCGTAAGGGACAAAATGAAATTAGCACTAAACCCAAACACAAAATATCACCCTTGTGTCATCAACCCACTATGTCGCTGAGGCTTCTCCACGTGTCAATTTTGCACCCATCAGCACCTAGATTTGTCGCCCTACCACTCGAATAGTCCTTTGCTCCACACACGCGCACAGAGCATTAGCCATTGAAGAGAGAGAATACAGAGAAATCACATCAAACCCAGCAAAGCGTTCTTAGCCCAATAAAATGGGAACGGAAGAAAACGGTAACGCCACCACCGAGTTCTTTCCCCCACGGTGGAGCGTGGCGACGAAGCCATGTGACTACTGCAAGTCCGCCGCAGCCCAGCTTTTCTGCCTGGTGGACTCGGCGTTTATGTGCATGGGTTGTGACGCTAAATTGCACGCCGTAAATAAAATATTCTCTCCGCATGCGCGAGCATGGCTCTGTGGGATCTGTGAACAATCCCCCTCCACGGTCACATGCAAGGCCGATGCGGCGGCGCTCTGTGTCACTTGCGACTGCGACATTCACTCCGCTAACACCCTCGCCTGCCGCCACAAGCGGTCGCCGGTGGTTCCTTTCTACGCCACTGCCGAGACCGTCGTGAAGTCCACCGCAGCTACCTCCCTCCTGGTTCCTCTCAACCACCATGGCTCCGACACTGTCTCGGTGGGCGAGAGTGAGAGCAAAACGAGAATTGCCATTGAAGAACCATGGACTCTGTCCAACCCAGAAGCTTGTAAAGTCTCAACCGAGGGTCCAGATTTGAATTCCGTGGAATTCTTGTTTCCGGATTCGGATCATTTTCTAGATTTGGAGTACCCAGCAGCCTCCATTGACATGGGGGTTCAACAACATCATAGTTCAGGAACTGATAGTATAGTCCCAGTTCAATCCATCAAGCCTTGTGTTCCAGAACAAGGGATTGAGTTTGATTTTGCCAGATCCGAAATCAAGTTATACAAAAACAGCTATGCCGCTCACTCTCTCACCCACAGTGTAAGCTATCATATGAATATCTCTCAATTTCATTTTTGCTTCCTAACTTTGAGAAAAATATTAATTGTTTTTTAATTTTGTGCTATTTTAGTTCTTAAACTGTTTATTATGGTTTATGTATAGTTTAATCTCTAATTTTTGTCTTAATTATTGACAAAAAAACCAGTGAAATTATATATTTAATCATTTAAAAAATAAATTCAGAAATTTAAGGGATATGATTGAATTGAAAATATAGTAGATGATTCATAATAGTCTCTGGATTTAGCCCTGGAATACCTTAGTTCTAGGGTGGATAGTCTATCTTTAATTGTACTGGAGAATGAATTAAACGATATACTTACAAGTTTGTCCGAACACCTTTTGCCCTACAGTTGAACTTAAAAAAAATAATTAGGTTGGAAGTATGGGAATGTACGGGGTAGGATATGAGTATATTTGGAGTAGCAAGAAGAATTATGTGTGTTTTCATGACCATTGTAGCATGCATGTGGCTGAGTTTATTATGCATAAATGTTGCTGTTTCTTTTCAGGTTTCTTCATCATCCTTGGAGGTTGGAGTTGTGCCTGATGGGAGCTCCATATCCGATATATCATACCCTTCTAGTATGGATAGGGAAGCTAGGGTTTTGAGGTACAGAGAGAAGAGGAAGAACAGAAAATTCCAGAAGACAATAAGGTATGCCTCGAGAAAGGCCTATGCCGAGAAGCGGCCGAGGATCAAAGGACGGTTCGCGAAGAGAAATGAGGTTGACTCTGAGATTGATCACATGTTCAGCTCTAGGTCTACTGGGTTCATGGCGGATGTCGGATCCGGCGTCATTCCATCTTTCTAATAGAAGAGCTTTTTTTTTTTTTTTTTGAATATACACAAAAAAATATGTGCATATTTTAAACACATTTTTCTCAATATCATACTTAACTAAAGAGCTTGAAAATCTTGTATTATTGAAGGATTAAAAATTGTCTGCATCTGAAAATACTGTGTAATATAAAAAAAAAAAATCTCAATAGTTCAAATTGTATAAAAAATTACATTTGATTTAAGAAGTTTATCGACATGCTAGAAATTTGGCAGGTTTGTAGAAGCTATGAAATTTATACCATGTGAATAACTATAAGAAAAATGGCTTTGAGCTTCACGTGCTTGGCTATATATAAACAGGGTGAGACTGTTGATACATGTAAAGAAATATATGTTGTCGTTGTATTCTTCACTTAAATCTTCCTTGTGTCCTCCATTTTTATCACTTCTTCATTGTCTTCACTGTAAACAAAGCCACCATGATTAATTTCTTACACAACATAGAATAAACTCCCAAAAAGAAAAAACAAACACAGAAACATAGGGATTATAGTCATGTTAAAAACTTCAAAACTGTGTAAAACTACAAATTCCCTCAAATACTTTCTTCTATTGGGAATGTTGTTCATGTTGGTATCAACATAATCAAGAGCAAGATTAATGAACACTCTCACATCCACGTCTCCCCATTTTTTCCTCTCCATAGCGCTTGTATGGATCTTGCATCTTTTGCACATCCATAGCCCCAAAGACACCATATTCACTACGACTTTCTTCGTCATGACCACCACCACAACCATTACCGTCGTCGTCGTCACTACCTCGATCAAGTGCCATCAAATCATCCCCATATTTAATGCTTTCAATTCTCATCTGCATCACCTTTCCTTTGGGCTCATACCCTTTCAGAAGGCCAACTACTTCCTTCATGTTAGGCCGTTTCTCTGGCTCACTTTGCACGCATAGCGCAGCAGCATTGATAGCTTGTTTGAGTTGGTTTTCATCGAAATTTCCTCGAAGTTTCGGATCCACAAGATCTCTAAACTTCCCTTTAACTATCATCGGCTCAGCCCATTCAGTAATTGTCCTCTTCACACCACCAGGGAGCTTTTCGATAGGTTTTCTTCCAGTGACGAGCTCAAGTAGAAGAATCCCAAAACTGTACACATCGCAGCTCTCGGAAACCTTTCCCCACATAGCATATTCCGGTGCTAGATATCCCAGAGTGCCCTTAACCCGGGTTGTCATGTGGCTAACACCCTCTGGAATCAGCTTCGCAAACCCAAAATCAGCAACCAATGGCTCAAAATTTGAATCCAGAAGGACATTGCTTGCTTTGACATCTCTGTGAATAATGTGTGGTGTGACCTCATGGTGCAAGTACCTAACAACATCCAATAGAGCAAGTACTTAGGCTTGCATTGTACAACATTAAAAAGTGGAAATAAATAGTTGAACCGTCAAACAATATACTATTTCTTATTAATCTAGATGTGATTGAAGCTTACAATAAGCCTTCGGCCGACCCAATTGCGACTTTCATTCTCTTTTTCCAATCTAGTTGAACTTCTCCTGCAAATTGACCATGTAGATGAGACAACAAGCTGAGATTTGGCATGTAGTCATAAACAATGAGTCTTTGATCATTCCCTGCACAATACCCTCTCAGACCCAAGAGATTCTTGTGCCGTACCCTTCCAAGAACTTCAACTTCCACAGCAAATTCCATTTCAGCCTTTGAGTTCATGGATTTCAACTTCTTCACAGCTATCTACATAAGAACCAACAAGAAAAGAGGTCAAAAATCTATCATTAGTGGCATCATCGTGACAGTTAAACAGTGCAGATATCGATATTATTAGAGATATAATAGGATCCAGTTAATGGTCAATGGATTGGCTCATCGGGAAAAAGGGCGATTCTCCGTGTACCTGTTGGGCCGGCCTTTCGTGGGCTTCTCTTCGAGCCAGTCTTAGTGGGCTCCAAAGGGTGTAAATGGGTTTTTATTCTAAGGTTTTTTGTCGATCGGTACCTATATAGGATTTGTTTGTATAAAAGTTCTTAAGTTAAAATATTTTGTGGAGAAGTCCTCTTCTTCTTTTTTTTGGTTCCAAAAACACCCACAAAAATAACTTAACCTGTTTGTCTTTGGAAACTGCCGAATTTCATTCACCATCTCCACAAAATCCGGCCACTAATCAAGGCTTCAAAACTCGAATTTTCAAAATTTGAACAAAACTTCCTCAAATTCTTTCAGTTTTCAACTATACACAAACCACTGTCTTCCAAAAATAAATTAAGAATTTCCTATTTAATTGAACAATGAATTTGAGTTTTAAACAAAATCTTCTTTCATTTCCAAAAATAAATTAAGAATTTCCTATTTATCTTCCTTACATTTGTATATAATTGACCATATCTATAATTTTCTTCCCATTTATTAATTGTAAAATCTAGCCTCAAATCTCTCCATTAATTAGCTGAAATTAGTGTCACTTTGCATTGTTATACTCCATGTCACATGATTCGTCCAAAGAGGCCAACAAATTGACGCTCAAAACGTTAATTCGCAGATCTAGAGCTAATTCGGCCCAAAATCGCAAATTCAATTTTTTGAATTCTCGAATTCCAAATGTGCAATTCGCAAACACAAAATTATTGGGGTCAATTTCATAATTTTAAAAACATTTACACGCATTAAACAGCTGGACCTAAGCCCAAGTAAAAATTTTACACAATTTCAATGTAGGAGGCCCTAGTTCTGAGTCCCAATATCCAACTAATCCAATAATTGGCCTCATTCTCTACTAGTAGTTGGATATCCATTGAGCCATTCTTCTCAGCCACCGATGTAGGATTCCCAACTTAAAAGGTTGTTGCCATTCAACCAACTATTAAGTGGGATATATCATTTGCTTCTTTTTTTTTCGAATCAAAACCGAATTGAAGTTAAATATTTTTCTTATTTCTTGAATCTTTTATTTATTTATTTACTACTAATAAATAATATTATTTCTCATTTTATTGACTCTCTAAGTGACACTCCCTCTCTCAACTTTTTTAAAAATTTGTCGCTTTTGTGCTCCTGCTCTCTCTTTCACTCCCGTTCTATGTGATCTAGGTTATACTGTGATTTAATACTGTCATTCATTAATAATAATATATATAGATGTTACATTGTGTGATACATACTATTTCGATTGTATATGAAACAATGAATGTAATTTCACAATTTTTTGTCAGTGATTAAAATGTTGATTAATGTCACATTACAAATGATGATGATCCCAACTTCAAAACAGATGTTGGTTTTATTAAGATTGTGTGTCGTTTATAGATGATTTAGACGTTCAAAACTCAAATAAAAAAAAAAAAGAAATATTCCAAACTAAGAAACTGTCTATCAATAAAACAAAATTCCCATATAAAAAGCAATTGTCAAAATACTAACACCATAAAAATATGGAAAGGGTATTATAGTAAAGAGAAGAATAAAAAAATTGTCACTGTGTATCATTCTACAATACATTTCAAGCTGGTGGTATTTATCTACAACACATTTTTTTTGAGGTATTTCCTCACAAAAAAAGTCCTCCACAACTCACAATTTTTCTTTTATTCTATTATCCAAATTAAGTATCTACTTTTATTGTAACATCACAAATTGAGGTGCTAAAGTTGAAATTCTAATAGAAAAATGTCATTTTTCTTAACTAAAATAAATAAACTGCTGTGAAGATTCAAAATGGGCTAGACCTCTCAACAAACCAGGTTAATCAACAAGATACAGAAAAATTAAAATTTAAAAATTTTGAGAGAGGATTTTATATGAAAAAGTAGGAAGGGAAAGAGTTTTAGAATTTATTTTAGTAAAAAAATAAAAGATTTGGAGTCAAAACTATACATTTTCAAAATGACATTTTTAATATCTGGTGCACGATTCATCGAGAAACAAACAAAGACATGTCGCTTCATGACGCGGTGGACTACCGGCCTATTGGGTAATAGCTATGAATTGATGAGTGCAAAATGATTCCAGGATTACCTGAAGACCATCAGAGGTTTTGCCCCAGTAGACACTGCCAAATCCTCCTTCTCCAAGCTTGTTATCCTCACTGAACCCATTCGTAGCAGCATGCAACTCCTTGTACGTGAAGATTCTCCATGGACTGTCACCTCCACCCAAGTTCAGCCTACAAAAAACCACAACAAATCCAACATGAATTTCTCTTATTTTTGAAAAACTTTTGAGACAAAAGCCATACAAATCCTCTTTGTTTCACGAAAACGTCGGAAAAATATAACGGTTTTATTGCCACATACCCTTCATCAACCTTGCCAGAACCACAGCAACTGAAGGATGATCCCATTAGCTTAACTGTGGGATGTTCAAAGCTTTAGTTAGGCTACTTGTGGCATTGGAGATTCCTCTTTTAAATCTGATTCAGGTCATTTTGGTCATTTCACATGTGACACTGCCGACCACAGCCGGCTGAATCTTAGAACAATGCTAATAAGGATTTAACTAGGAACCAAATATCGATAATTAATTGTTTGTATTGATTGATGGATTAGGCATGCTCAAGATGGGATGGTCCGCCACGAAGTCTTAGAATCTCAGAATAGTCACAATACACCATCAGATCTCCCTCCCCTTATCATAGATAATTATATTCGGATTTTTACAATCATCTAGCTTTCAAATGATTGAGTATTTTTTGGGATGCGTAAAATACTCGGACAATTCGAACAAGTTGAAAGGTCAAATTATAAAATCTTCATCATGAATTTATCTCGAACCTGAATACCATTTTAGGTCTTTAAGTCGAAGTTTGTCTATTCTTAAAATTTTTTAGGTTGAACCATGCTACACAACTTGTGTTTGAATTTAGATTCAATTCCAAGATGAAAATGAGGTTCAAACTTGATTCTTGGGTTGAAAATGGGACTAAACTTCATGGTAAAATTGAGTTTAATTAGGGTTTGCTTTTCGGGTTGTGCAACTTAGTTAAAATTCAAGTTTAATTCAGCAAAAATTGAATTCACTAATTAGAGTAGGGTTGAAAAAACTCGACACCCTAATCCAAGTTCTACTTGAAGTTAAACCAGATTGATTTTTATGTTTCTTCATTGACCCGGTCCCCATGGCCATCAAGAAATAAACCAGCAGTGAAGAAAGAATCCTAAATTAATAAACCGGCCATATGTTATTATATAATGATGAATAAGATGAACATTTTTTTTAAATGTCTTCTTGTGTGGAAAGCTAATCAAATTGACTAAATTCTTTGACAATTCATATTTTGATTGTACTTAAAAATTAGCAAAATTATCAAAACATTGTCAAAAATTCACTACTAGAAATTTAGTATCAATGATAAGGATTACAACGAGGTTTTCAAAACAACAAAAAAAGAGGAATTATAATATAAATAGCACGACATTCAAAAATTCTTAGTTTTCTAATATGATTAAAACTCGTTTTCTATCAAACCAACTCTCCACTCTATGAATTAAAGAGTTTATATGTTGCATTAATTAGATACAAATCATGATAGCAAAATAGAATACATCCACAACAACAATGCATATAAAGCCGAACTAAAATATGAAATCTACGAAACGTTACAACTACTAATAGTCTAGAACCTTTGACACTTATAGTAAAATTGAGAGAGGAAAAGGAAAAATGTGAAACAAAAAGTTAAAAAATTTCATCCACTTCAACCCAGAGACAAACGTGGGTCCAAAAGTTCAACAAAAAAACGTCTACAAAAAGTCATAAATACAATACAAAACTTGGAATTATGGACTAAGTTTGCATGCTGCAAGTTATGATCCATGTGGGTAACCCCTATTTTTTGGTTCAACAGTTAGGGGTGTCTAGATTAATTCACGTGCATATCGATTAATCTCTTCCCCGATTCAGTCAAATACAAGTCATCCACGTCGAGATTAGATAATTCATGAGGGATAAATTCTTCAAGACTTGACCTTAAAGAGTTGTCAAAATTCAATTTAAGACGTTTAAATTTACAGCTACTCCATGTTATCACCCAATCTCAACACGAATGCATTTCTTGTTTCTAATGCATGGAATTTAGATCATGAAGTCCATTTATCAAGCCAATTGGATGAAAGCAGTTCCAGTTAAGTGAAAGTGCAAGCCATCTCTGATCAATCCAAATAGCATAAAGACATTATAGAAAGTGATTTACGCACGTCTCCGAAGAAAAGTGGTATAATTGTCTTTTATCTTTGTTTTTTTTTTAAATCGTCTTTTATCTTTGCCATACATTATACCGCTAAAAGTCTACACAACCCATGACGTTCTTGTGAATTTGATTGAGAGAAGAAAAATGTAATAAACAACTAAAAATCACATAAATAAATCCAAGAGACAAATAAAAATAAAATTGTTTTAAGAGGAAACACTAATAAAAAGTCATACAGGCAATACAAACTATAACCATACATCACTCCTTTCAAATTCACATAATTTAAAACATGAATAATTATAATTATAATCTATCAAGCAAATTGGACCACTACATAGTCCTTTTTGTTAAATAAATGGCTTTACTGTCTCTGATTAGTCCAAATAACTTACGGACATTGCAAGTGGGGTAGCAAACACACACGTCCATGTAAGAAAAGAGTTTTTATCTCATCCACTTTGACCAAGAGACAAACACTATCAATATTTAATCTCAATCGGTAGATCAAGTGATTATAAGAATAAATTATAAACTCAAATGTCTTGATTTTGAATCTTGACAATTCGTTAGAGGAGGTTACGAGCGATTTATCCATTATAAATATTTTAATTAGTCTTAGTGTGAATAATCTTCTTTTAACCAAAGTGAGGAAGAAATTAATTGAGGTGCCCCACATCGTTGACCGTTGAAAAAAAAAACAAAAGCACCAAAATTTTAAGAAAGGGTTCAATACAAAACTCAAAACTATATTATAATCAATGTTTTATATGCTGCAGGTTATGACCCAAATGGAAAACTCCGTCAGCTTAAGTGTTCAAGAGTTTGGCCTTTTTATTTCAAAAATTATTTTGTAAAAAGAGTTGGTTATAAACCAAAAGGGGGTTGTTTGCTTCCCCTTCATTGTAATACTTTTTGATAATGAAATTAAAAAAAACGCTGTTTACGAAAAAATAAAATGGAAAACTCTGTCAAGTTCAACAATTATTTATTATTTATTCCGACGTGAATATCTGTCATCAAGCCAATTGGACAAAGGCTGTCCTTCTTGTCTCCTTATTAAAATAAATAAATTGCAATATTGTCTCTGCTGACTAATCCAAATAGCACAAGAACATTGCAAGTGGGAGATTTCTTACGTCTCTACAGAAATATATTTTCACCATTTTTATTTTAATCAAAAGTATTTTTTAGTTTCATAACTTAGGATACATACACTCACCCGCAAGCCATCCACATGGTGTCAACTAGTGCATCTCTCCTTACACTGTAACGTTAAAAATTGGAGAACGAACATTAAAATGTTGGCATTTGAATTATCATAGTAAGTTTATCTTTCTCTTTTCTTGTAGTGATAGTTCCTTCGATTCTTCTAAGAGAAAGGTCTTAAATTGTGCAATCTACCTAAGTTTTTAAAAGAAATATTATAGTCCTAAAGGGCTCATAACCACTGCATTTGGCACTTCCACCCTGGGGTTATTATCTTTGACTTCAAACCATATGTTGGACGTAATGTGAGAAGTTGCTACAGGACGGAAGGAAGAGAATGAAACAATGGTCTTGCAATTCTAAAATATGACTTTTTATAAGCTTTTGCCACTAAGGATTTTGATTACCTAAACGTAGCAAGGACCAAGGTTGGATCGATCGAGACAGAGACAGACGTTTCTTAAAATTATTTATTATTTTCTATATGACTCCTACAATTATAAGACTTGGACAATTATGCCGTAAAGGTCCGCTGTTATTTGACAATCAGGAGTACATGGTAAAACCAAAAAGAACTTAATGGAGAGACTCACTTATGATTAGGGGTGTCAATAATATCGGATTAAACAGTTACGTTTAGGTTAAACGGGTGATAGGTGAAAAACATATAAACTCATATACGACAAATTTAATAAATGAATAAAAAATCTCAACACGAACACAACCCATTTAATAAACGGGTAACACGACACGACACGACTCGACTCGTTTAACCCGTTTAATTTTAAAAAAATTATATCAACAAATTTTAATACTTCACTTTTTTTTACTGTCAATTACACTTACCTCAAAAAAGAGGAATTTTTAGTCAAATCTTATAAAAATAAGACTTAAAGGCTTAAAAAAAAAAAAGCAAGAGGTCATTGCCCCTCCCCATCTCTCATCATTTTTTAATGTGGAACAAAAACAAAAGACATTGGTTTGTCTTTGTCTTTGTCTTTGAAGTGCTTCTCATCTCCTCTCATTTGTCTTTGAATTACCATTTTACTTCTTTTTTTTTATTGATTTTTTTATTTCTTTTTTTCTTATTAATTTTTTTAAATAATTGTTAATTTGTTATTATATTAATTTTATTGAAACGGGTAAACGTGTGATAAACAGTTTGACATATCTCACCCGAATACAACCCGTTTATTAAACGTGTTTGGCATGTCAACTCGTTTATCACCCAAACCCGTTAAAATCTCACCCAAACTCGCTTAATTCATGTCGATTAATCGTGTCGTGTCGAATTTTGACAATCCTACTTATGAGAAAATAAGAAAGTTTCATGATAACCCTAAAAACTACGGTACTTTAACCTAATTTGTTGATTTACTTATGTTTATTCGACCAAAATCTTAGACAAAAGGCTAATCAAACCAACAATGACCCGAACTTAGTAGGACTAAATTCATAGTCGGTAACTACGTATCAATTTCATATGGGATTGGAGAGTCATGCTATGAATTAATAGCCCTTCTCAAACATAAGATGTCAAATCTATCTCATATAGGCCACACATGCCTGTGGCTTGGGTAATTTCAAATGACATGGATCTTCCTAGGTAAGCTTATAAAAAGTAGATTCAAAACATGCATAGTAAGGGTGGCTGAGATTCATAAGCCCGGTGAGAAGTTCCAAACCCAGAGCACTCATGGATCCTACCTGGTTATTATTTGGCCCATGTATACTTTAAAACTGTGTGTGTGAGCAGACTCCGTGGGCCAAGCCTCGCAAATATTGTTGGCCTGACATAAAAGAAAGCAATTAGAATGCTCTCCGCTCGTCAATGGATCAAATTTTCTTTTGAATTCAGTTGGAATTCCAATTAATGGGGCACAGGATTGGTACTTTGGACCACTTCCGAATCTATTGTGAAATTTTTTTAGCATAAGGATTTTCTT